TAAATGATAAACAATAAACATTTACAAATATACAGTAAGAATTTTTCTAAATGCTACATTTCTAAGTATATAATAATATTTTATATAAATACACATATTTTTCTTCGAGCCATTGTTTACATTTTATATCAAGAAATGATATTTTAACAGAAAAAGATCACATGTTTTGGGTTTATTTTTAGCAGCTGGCTTAATACATAAAACCTATTTACATATCCGTCAGGCCATTATTAAATTTGTTATTTTGTGGAGTGGGGGAAATGATTCCACGTTAAAAATTTTATGTGTACATCTACAACTCTTCCAGCTTCCCTTGTATTCCACATTATCCGTTAGTCATTCTCCATTCCATTTTTCAATCGCTTTTCAATATTGCATTATCCGCATTCCGTTACACTGACCACATGACACTGTCTATTTTCTATCTATTTTTCCTTATCCACGATTTACCACACTCGATTATCCATACTGACTATACTGTCCATTATCATTCTCCATCCGTCATTCTCCAGTTGTATTGCTCGATACGCAGACGATAATTAAAAAAAAAAAAGGTTTTAAATTTATGTTTAGTGTGTGCATCTCTTGTTGGATAAATTTATAAATAAATATATATATATTTATTCATTAATTCATTATTGCACATTATTTAAGACTGTTAGCTGTTGATGGTACAATGTTGTCGGCAGTATTAGCATCAGGAGACTTTTTTATTTTATCGCAATAATCATTGAAAATATCACGAAATCGTAGCCAACACTTTTCAGGTATAGTTATAGAAGTGCGAAAATTATTCTTCACCTTGAAAAAATGATTAACGTTTAATATAGAGTTGGGTTGGTAGGAACAGTTGCTTCGAGCACTTCACAACTTTTTTACCTCACTTATTCGCATGTAAACACCTCGATTATTTTGTCCTATATCAAAGTAAAAGTTCTTGTTGTCCACTTTCATATGCCGCTCTTCGGGTAAATCACCTTTAAATCTGCAAATATTACAAAGAGGGTTTCACTTTCCATACTAATTTAAGATATATGCTATCATTATTGATAAATCATACGAATTGTTAGCAGATAGAAAATAAGTCTATCCCCGTTAGCACTCTAGAATGAGCACTCTTAAATGTGAAAATGTATGCATTTAGCTGAAGAAGGGTTGCCAGACCATATAAACTACAGTGGCTCACAGCTTATTTGACCCAACTTGAAATAAAAATTTCATCTGCTCATTACTTTTTACCCAATACAAATTTTTGAAGAATTCAAACGTAGAATTGTTATTTCAATATTAAATTAATGGAAAGCATAACTTTTTTATTGATATTTAAAAGCAAGTAAGAAAGCTGTAGTCGAGACTGCTCGACTAAGAGATCCCCTTCGACCCTTCAAGCAATAGATATTTCAATCAGATTTCGCTTCTTTCTGCTTACACAAGACACACGCACACACACATATACACACACACGCATACACACGCACACAAGCACCCACGCCTAAACACGCATGGGCTGCAGTGCACTATGGGGAATTTTACCGTTTTTCGGGTATTTAGTCATTTTTGCGAAGTATGAACATTTATAATWTKTTTATGTTAACATCTTAATAAAACTCCAAACTTTAAGGTACTGTACCCAAAATGTTGAATAACAGTTCACTGTTAAGCCTAACAGCTGTTAAAGTCAGCTGTTATCTTCGAAAAGCATGTGCCTTCAGCTTACAATTTGTGGTAGCTGATTTTCAAATCATCGTTATTCAATGACCAGACATTATTTTTGAGAAATTTAAAAAGGATATGAATTTTTAGGGCTTCTACTATGCGTTGGCTTAAATAACATTTGATGTTTGAACTGATTTTATTCATTTATTGTAACCCACAATTTGTAAAAAAAACCCATTTTAAGTATTAGACTTGAGCTTTGGAATGTACACACATTTAACTATATGATCATGCTCTGAAAGTTTCATATAGATAATTCTACTACAAAAGAATTTATTCAACTAATAAATTCTTATAATATTGCCCACTGTTAGCTGCGTAGTCAGCAGGACGCGTGCTTATACGTACGTGTGGTTGTATGTGTATGTATGCGTGCATAGAAGTGCAGAATGATTAGAATATCAGCTTAGAGGGTTCAGGGTGTCTCCCAGTCGAGCAGCTTCGACTGGAGCCTTCTTGTTTTTTTTTTTTATACCCTGAACCCATTGAAAATGGGAAATCAGGGTAAAATGGTTTTGTTGAAATGTATGTAACAAGCAGAAGGAGGCATGGCAGATTACACAAAGTATATATATTCTTGATCAGGGCGACGAGCCGAGCCGTGTATGAAAACGTCGATTTCAGAAGATATAAGAGCTAGAGACTACAAATTTGTTTTTAAATGCCCGTATATACAACGCGGATATCTAGTAACCGATAACTCATCCTGTTATTTATTTTATCGATAATTTATCGTACATCTTTAAAGCTAGAGTCTCCATATGGAATATATATACTTATATGCATTGTATACAATTTCGTTTTTTGTTAAAATTTATATCCTATATCCACCCCCTCACCAGCATATTTGTAAAAGGCGTATTTCGCTCAGACAAGAGCTTTCAAATATATACAAATATATACTTTACCCTGCATCATTAGCTCCAAACTCTTCCAACAAATCAGTTAACGCGTCGCGAAACTCGATCATACCCTGAGCTGGCAATGCGATTTGAGATCTGGGTCCACCTCTTGTTATTGTTTGCGAAACCTAAAATATAAAAGTTTTTATTTTATTATTATTATTATTTATACATGTATCCAGTAACACTTTTAGAAAAAATCAAGTAAGAAAGCTCTAGTCGAGATTGCTCGACTACGAAATCCCCTGAACTCTTCGAGCAATAACTATTTCAATCATTTATCGCGTCTTTCTGCTTACACAAGAAACAAGCACACACACACGCATACACACATACACACACACACACACATACACGCGCACACGCACACGCGCACACGCACACACACACATGCATACACACGCAAACACATACACACAGAAGCACCCACGCATAAACACGCATGGGCTCCAGTGTGCGCTTACTATGAGAACTTAACTGTTTAATAACCTTTGTGGACATACTATCTTCATGAAACTTTCAGATTATGATTAAAACATGGATATACATATATTTGCCAAAGTCCCTAGTACTTGAAATACGCCTTTAACAAATGTGAGGGTGAGGGGGTGAATTAGAGGCGGGGGGTAAATTTTGACAAAAACCGAAATTGTATAAAAAATAAAAAAAATAAAAATATAAGTATACATATAAAATCTGGAGACTCTAGCTTTAAAGATGTAGGAGATATAAATTTATTACTGGTTTCCGATCATGTTTTGAATCGATAACAAAATAACGGGACAAGTTATCGATATTTAAAGCAAAACTCGATATGCGCGTGCTATACACGGACCTAGGAAAAAAATTAAGTCCCTAGCTCTTATATCTTCTGAGATCGACGCGTTCAAACATACTAACAGACGGACGGACGGACACGCGGACAGGGCTAAATCGACTCTGATCAAGAATATATATACTTTATGCGGTATGCCACGCCTCCTTCTGCCTGTTATATACATTTAACAAAACCAATTATACCCTGATTTCCCATTTCACTGGGTTCAGGGTGTAATAAAAATTACCTCAAAACGGCCCTATTGGAAGAATGGACAAAAATCTCCATCGAAGTCACCTGAAAATTGTTAAACTCGATGGAATCACGTTTAAAAGATATGATTAAACAAAAAGAAGGTAAAAAAAAAATCCGAATTTAAGAGTAGTTGGCCAATTAAGACATTGAAAGTGAAGCCTGCGAAATAGGCTGTGCCATGGAAAATCCAATTTTAGTTTTCTTTAGTTTTAAATGTTATTTGTTAGAACATAAAAATAATTAAGTGCGTTAATACATAATGAATGACTGATAAATAAGATTCCATTAACATTTTTTTTCATATCTTTACTGGTTTAGCGGGAATACCGTTACACGAAATAAAATGTGAGCCACTGTATGTTCATGAACAATACCAAAAACAAAATTATAATCAGAGTAGTTATCGATTTTTTAGATAAACTCGATATCCGCGCTGACATTTAAAAGAACATTTCAAGTCTCTAGCTCTTATATAATAACTCCCCATTCGTATTAAGGAAGTCATAGTGACACAAATCGATTCCAATGAAGTATTCGTTTTTCGTAAGCTGCATAAAAGGTAAAATTGCATACTTACTCTTAAAAATCTTCCTCGTGCATTTTCTTTCAAGTCCAAATAATATCTTCGATTGTCCTTGATCATCATCTCTGATTTCAATTTGCCATCCTCCGGTAAATTGTCAGTGTTTGGTGGCCCTGCGTTTCGATTAACTTGATTTGATTTTAAGCTCAAAGGCATGTCACTAAACAAAATGTTAATAGTCTCTAATAATATCCTACCTAGAGATGCATAATAATCACTAAAAGATGATAGATGATCACGAAACTCAGCTGCTGTCGACAGAGCTAAATATATTTGACTTCTTCTGCCGTCTGCTCCAATCTAAAAACAATAATAAAATGCATTAGTTATAATTGTACATAATACAATAATTGGGAGTGTTCTAGTCAAAGAGCTTCATAATTGTACATAATACAATAATTGGGAGTGTTCTAGTGTGTTCTGACTACGAAATACCCTGAACGCCCCATTCCATCATTCTGGTCTTTATACCTTTTATGTCCTTTCAGCAAAGATTAAAAATCCCCAAGAGATACTAAGAAAATAATACATACAATGGAGGACAAAAGTATTTTGGCAACACATTACAAAAACTTAAACCGTTTATTTCTGCATGCTGAGAGAGGTAAAGGTAACCAGTATATTTTTAAGAGAGAGCAAAGCTTAAAAGGTGTAAGTGACTAAAATATTGCATTGATAACATATTATTTCCATTGTAGATATTCATTCTTTGGCTGGACAAAGTATTCTGACATTCCTTTTCATATTCATTTTCGGTCATTCGCTTGCGTTACGAAGTACGTATTTTATTCTTAAGATCTTATTCGTGTCCTCCTTAATAATAGCCAATATTTTATCATAGCTTTCGATTACTTATGGGCAAACCACGTGATTAAGTGAAATCTTAAAAAAATCAATTGATCCCGAAGAATATTGCAGGTATTTCCGTGAAATACCTTACGAGCTTATAAAATTTACCTCTATGAGCAATTTACTACCAAATTAACTAAAAATAGAAAACTGATTCACTCAGCTCAGGCATAAATATACGAATATAGGAAGATCGTATTTATGCCTCCAACGCACTCAACAACTAACAGGTAGTGCAATGGGAAAAGATAAAGGTCACATGTACGCACTCTATAAATAGACAGATTAAAATTAACCCTTGCAATCTTAGCGACAGATTATGAAAGATACAAACTCAGCGAGAGGATAAGAATAGACGCACTAGATTTAAGGGTTGAAACTATGCATACGTCTGGGTATGTATACCCAAGCTCAGAAGAATAAAGATCAATATGAAACTAAACACCATCTTAGTCAATAGTATTCGTTCACACTAAAAAAAGTCCATATCGGGACGATCATTCAAAAAAACCTGTAGAAGACCGCATCATATTGATAAAATTGTAAGAAAATGTGCAGATTTTCCCTAAAAATCATGTCGATTAAACTAAAAAATAATCAAGAATTATCAATAAGTAGAAAACTATCACAAATCGGAGAAGGAAGACCAATTTTTCTACGTTATAGATTTTCGAATACCTTTAATATCACTAAAAAATAGACCAAAAAGGTAATTCTTGGGAAAAGTAATATGGATAGACGATAGTTCTTTTGAGTATCACGGATAAAAAAAAACGATTTATAGCAGGTTGCCAAAGAATATTCCCAAAGAAAAATGGTCTGTGTACCAGCGGGTGTCACATGGTAAACAATCGGAAGTGCTCTGGGATTTCGTTTGCGTCAATAGCCCCTCTTATCTGATATTCATTGATGGAAAAATGAAGAAGGTCAATTATTTACATGTCCTGAATAACCGCGCATCGAATTCTGGTTACCATCTTATTGCACAATCATTTATACTGCAGCAGGACAACTCTCCATATCATAAGGCTCATATTTTAACTGAATTTTCAAGGGATATTGAAGTCAATACCATCTCACAGCCCTGATTTCTACATTATAGATAATATTTGGGCTTATATAAAAGTAAAACGTAGCTTTAACTTTTCAAGAACGCCCAAGGAGACTGATTGCCGAGGTTCAAGGACTTTGGTAAGATATATCATTAGAAACATTACAGAAGGTCATTGATGGTTTATTCCTTATAAATATTTTTTTTTTACTAACACGATTGTTAAGTTTTTCTCTCAATTTATTTAATAAATATTAGTGTCAAAATAATTTAGTCCAGCCAAAGAATGAAAATATGATATGAAAACAATTATAGAAAAAGAATGAGTTAAGTTATCAATGCAATATTTTGGTTACTCAAAGTTTTTAATATTGGTCTCTCTTAAAAATAGTCTGGGCACCGATACCTCTCTCAGCATGCAGAAATAAGTGGTTTAAGGTTTTGTAATGTATTGTCAAAATAATTTTTTCCTCCATCTACGAATGAACGATATCTAAGCTAGACTGGAATCGCATCTTGCATTGCACATATATTCCATCTTAAACTGTTATTTGACATTTATATATATATTTGACATA